AAGAATGATCGTTGTAAGTTCCTTCGCCAACTTCAAACGTCAAATCTACCGTTGCTCCAAACATTGCAAGAGAATTAATTCTTGTTGTTGATTCGATCGCCATAATGTGACAGACATATAGGGCTTTGTTTTTTCTGTCGCCAATGTGTCAACATATTTGCGACAGAATTGATTCCGTCGTTCATTCTGTAGCAAAAATAAACTTTACTTCAAAATTTATATATTTTCGCGAAAAAAAAATTCTCGTCGCAAATTCCGTCGTCAGCCTCCATCGTCAATCCCTTGGTGTGGGATTATTTTCCACTTTGCGCCAAATATTGCAACGGAATTTATTCTCGTTGTCGATTCTGTTGCAAATCTGTAACGGAACTATCGACCGTTGCCTTTTCCGTCACTATTGTGGTGACAGAACTTAATTCTGTCGCAAAATCCGTCACCAAAGTGTAGGCGCCAAAATTTCCCAGGTTTTATTCTCACTTTGCGCCAAAAATCACTACGGAATTGCATTCTGTCACCATTTTCGACGTAAAATCGCAACAGAACACGTTTCGTCGCAAAAACCGTCACAAATTCACAACAGATTATGTTCCGTCGTGATGTTTCCGTTGAAATTCATGATTTTTCTTGTAGTGTTTTAAAGGATACTCTGTTCTGCTTCCCTGCTAGACAATGAGCACACCTCTTCAAATGAACATTGTTCAACCCAGCTAAGCTCTTTTTTCTGACCAGCATGGACATCCTCTCCTCAGATATATGTGCAAGCCTCTTATGCCATATATCATTCGTATCATCGTTCTCAACCGTATTGACAATATTTCCTGAGATCTTGGCCTGTAAAACATAAAGTGTAGAACACTTTGTGCCTCGAGCCACAACTAGAGAACCTCTTGTGAGTTTCCATTGGCCATTTTGGAAAGTATTACAATACCCTTCATCATCTAATTTTCCAGCAGAAATTAAATTATACCTGATATCTGGAACATGCTTCACATTTTTCAGAAGCAACTTGGTGCCATTGTTGGTTTCTAACTGAACATCGCCAACACCAACAATCTTTGCATTACCATCATTGCCCATTTTCACAACTCCAAAATCACCTGTTGCATAACTAACAAAAAAATCCTTTCGAGCTGTAGCATGAATGGATGCACCACTATCAATTACCCAGTTTGTATCATGACTTGCCAAATTAATGGCATCTGTGTCACCATCATAGAAGATAAGAAAATCATGTTCAACTGTAGCAGCTACACTATCATCATCACTACCATTATTCTTTTCAGAGTCTTTATTTTTCTGATTTTCTTTCTTCCGTAGTCGGCAAAATTTCTTAATATGCCCTTTTTTGTGACAATGATAACATTCAACATTAGCAAATTTATTAGATTTACCTCTACTGTTATCTCTGTTTTTATCTTTACTCCTTGGACCCTTGCTTTGACTTCTCCCCCTATTTGTTGTAGCCAAGACCTCTGAATGTTGAGAGGAAGTACCTTGTGACCTTCGTCTCATCTCTTCATTCAGGACACCACTTTTAACAAGTTCCATTGTTACAACACCGTTAGGAGCAGAATTAGTCAAAGAAATCTTTAAAGTTTCCCAAGAATTTGGCAATGATGCTAGTACCATAAGAGCAAGAACCTCATCATCAAAATTAACTCCCATACCTGACAATTGATCAACAATCCCTTGAAATTCATTCAAGTGATCCGCAATAGAACTACCCTCGTTATATCTCAACTGCACCAATTTTGTGAGATAAAACAATTTGTTGTTGCCAGTCTTTGAAGCATATAAATCTTCAAGTTTACTCCATAGTGTCTTTGCGTGGGTTTCACTACAAATATGATTATACACATTATCTTCAACAAATTGCCGAATAAAACCACATACCTGCTCATGCTCAAAGGCCCACTCTTCATCTGATTTATTTTCAGGTTTCTGGGTAGCAAACACGGGTAAATGCAACTTCATCACATATAGTAAATCTTTTATCTTATTCCTCCATATGTGATAATTTGTGCCATTCAAACTTGCAATTCTATTGAACTTTCCTTCCATAGCTCCGCACTTGAACAAAGCTCTGATACCAGTTGTTGGGAAGAAAGCTCGCAAGAATATATAATTAGCACAATGAAAATAAATAAACGGCACCAAGAAGAACACCAAGAATTTTAACGTGGAAAAACCTCCTCAAGGCAAGGAGTAAAAAACCACGGGCACAAGCCAGTAAACCTTCCACTATATAGATAATGGGTACATCAGAGGAGGCTTCTCTAATTCAACGATTAGAGGCAACACAAAATACAAGAGAAAATAACATACCCCGAGGCACAAGAATTTCTACGAAATCCACCAACTTCTTCTCGGCTAATTTTCTCACACTTGTATATCTCAACAAATTTTCTCTCCTCTCTTTTTCTTCTTCTTGAACTCTCTCATATCCAAGGTAGCCAAATCCATGGCCTTTATATAGGCTTTACAAAGTCAACTCTTTTGTCTTTTCATTTGCCCACTTTAATCTCCCATTAAGTGGACATGAATGAAGCCATTAATCAAAAAACCTTTCACTTCATCTTCCAAGCTTAATTGTTAAGCTTTTGGTCACCACCCTACCCACATTGGTGGGACCATCTAGCAACATGTTACTCATAAGGGGAAAATATAATACTTTTGAGTGAAAATATAATACTTTTAAATCAAAATGTTTTAATCCACGGTTCTATGAATCATCTACTATAGCTGTAGAGCAAAAAGAAAAAAAAAAACAAAGAAATAAGTCTCTTATTTGTCATCGGAAAATACGCTTTCCTAAAATAGGGTTTATAGCAAAAGTCATCTGAATGACCAAAAATGTCCGCAATATGATAGTCTGGGTGTTAGATGAGAAAAACTATTGTCTAGGACTAAATTTGGAAGTGACACCAAAGACAAGCGAACTGCGTTGTAATTAACTAATTACGAAAAAAAATTAAAGAGACAAAAATACAATTGTCTAAAATAGAGTTACACCAGAAAAGTAATAAAAAGGACCGAAAGTATCAAGCTTGAGGTAGAGGTGACCACAGGCCGGTTCAGGACCGAACCAGCCTTGAATCGTTCCAGAAAAAGTTGGGCCTGTGTTTCACTAGGTCTAGGTCAGGCCTAGCCCGGACCGGGACTGGCTAGTAAATCTCCGGTTCAGGTCCTATTAAAAAAAACTCGGGACCTAGCTCAAAACAAGCCCAGGATCGAGTCCAGGCAGGCTCAGGCCTGTAACCGGCCCAGACACAGATTAGGCCCGAACCCATACTCGGACTTTGGCCCGGATGTGTTTGAATTAATAAATAAAGTGTTTTTAATTTTTTAAAGATAATGTTTCTATCAATACTAGATTTATCGATAATATAATTTACATAAAAGCATACATTTAGTTGATAATGGTTAATTATTCCGCTCATGTTCTTAATTTATGTGTTCAATAAGGACATCAAAGTTTGAGTGATTTTGTTGAACCAATTAGAAAATGTACTAAATGACTTACATACAATAGAAAAAAAAATTGATTTTAAAATATTGTGTGCACATGGTTAAGAAAAATGAGACATTATAGTTTAGATACACCTATTCAGTGAAATTTTATATGTAAATTAAAGTGTTATGTGGAATTGCTCTATATCATGAGGTAATAACTACTTTGTATAATAGTAAGCAAACTATTGACGCTAGCATATATAATTACAACTATGTGAGTTTTGATTCCTCTAAATTATTGATGATAATACGTATGAATCTTAACGTTTATATATCATGAAGTGCCCTCAATTAGATATAATTTTAATTTTTAACTATGATGTTAGTGGTAAAATCTTTTTTTTTAAGTTTAATTATTTTATATAAAAAATAATAATAATAAAAATCCAAGGCCTAGTCCAAGATCGGCCCACGAGAGGCACGTGCCCAAGTCCCGTGGTAGACTCAGCACGAATACTTTGGCCGGTCCCAGTCTGTGCTAGTCTTGGCCCGGGATCGGCTCAGACCAGACTTTGGCCACCTCTAGTTTGAGATGTTAAATGTCAAATATGATAGTTTAAGACTAAATTTAGAATTAACACGAATTGAAAGACACGTGACTGCAGGTAGAATTAACTCTTCCTATTAAAATATTTTCAAGTTTAGAAGTTGAGAATCTTACATGGAAATGTCATTATCGTTTATTTTAAAAAAAAAAAAAAAAGGTCAAACTTTTATTTACTTATCTTTGTAGTATTTGTCTTTAATTTTCACATGAGATATGAATCACATTTAAACATTAACCTTGGCTGTTACGTTTTATGTGTAGAGCCTTTGGTTTGAAGCAAGGAAGCTAACGATTCCCGGTGGCGAAGAACCTAGTTATTGGTCATGGACTTTGGACCCTACTGGGTATGCAAATCTATCAGGACAAATTTTAATTAACTAGAATAACAATTAAAGCTAAGTATATATTATACTGCTCCTCTATATAAATTAAAGATGGTTAATTGCGCGCGTGTAGGTATGAGGTTGCAGAACTTTTGCAAATGAGCTGGTTTGAAATCGGATTTACCTGTGACATTCGGTGCCTATCAAAGATGACTTGTTACTCTGCATATCTTGTATTCAAACTTGTACAGGGAGGCTTTAAGGATGTCAACACAGCACTCACATGATATGCAAAGGACATGCAAGAACCTATACGATAAGTTGGGCGGGCAGAATCGGAACTCTCAGGTCTTTTTAGCAAAGACAAAGTCTTATGGAGATTGCGGTCAGTTTCCCAACGATGACCGTTCTGATGGGTGGATGGAAATCAAGCTTCACTACAAAAAATCAATCATTTAGCAACAAAATATTAGTGGCGGTTTGTTACAACCGCCGCTAAATAAGTATTTAGCGGCGGTTATATAAACCGCCACTAAAAATAAGTGGCTAACTTACTGTGTGATGTATATATCGTGCTAAATTGCTAAATAAGTGTTAGTCTCTCATTCTTCCCTCTGTTCAAATCCCTATTATCTCTCCTTATCCCCTCCCTCCTTCCTTCTCTTCGCCGTCTGAGACAACAATTGTAGCAGAGTTCGCCGGAAATTTCTTCGCACTCAGCTCAATCGTCGGATTCGTCGCCTGTCTTCGTAAAGCAGGTCACAGTCGTCGCTGTTGTCACCGCTGCGGCCTCTGTCGTCGTCATCGTCAAAGGTCGCGGTTGTGCCCTCAGCTCCGATCTGTCGACATTGTTCGCAGGTCCAAGGTAATTAAGTGCTATATTATTCATATTTGATATTTTATTTATAATTATTTGACTCAGTTCAATCAATCTGAACAGGAAAATCTTAAGAAAGTATCTGGATCAACCAAAAAAATCTGTTCAAAGGACACACAAATCTGCAAAATCAGAAGAGGAGATGAAGAAATCTGAGGCCACTGTTCAATCTGTCTCGAGCAGTTCTCAGCGGGTAACAGAAATTCAGGTAACTTTTACTTAGGTTGTTATCCTGAATAAGTATTGGTCTTTTGGATTTTAAATGGGGGAATGCTACTTTAAATTTAAACCTGAATTTGGTTCATGGGAAAACACTAGATGCTTGGATTTATTTTTAGTTGTTTGCACCTTTTGGTATACTGTTCTAGTATGAAAATTTCTTGTCTAGGGGATTTCGTTCTATGTTTAACTACCTTGAGGTGCTACAATAAGGATAATAGGCCACAAGGCACATCTAATTCATTTGTATGGACTAGTGTCTCTACAATGTATAATTAGCAAGAGAAAATTCAAAATTCCCTTTAGAAATAGCAGTGAACATATAATAAATGGATTCATTTTCTCAGTTTCCTTAAACTAGCTGAAATGTCAGCTCTTTGGCAGGGAAGTAAGAGAATTCTTCCTGCAAAGCCTTCCATAAACATTGAAGCTAGTCCTATGGAACTTGACACAAAAGAGTCAGATGCTAATCCAAAATCCAAATTCTTCTTTGGCTACTGCAGAGGTTTGGTCTTCAAGCCTTGTATAATAATGATAATGAAATAATACTATACAAGCTCTTTTAGATTTCAATATTTTCTTATGTGTTTTCAATACAGAAAGGAGTTTTGTGGCCTCAACCGTCCTGTAATTTCCACAGAGAAATTGAAAAAGTGATAGACAAGAGTTGAAGGAGTCTGTGCAAGAGCTTGCTGCCCGAGCAGCTAGTTATGCCAAAGTTGTAGCTGCAAAATATATTGCACCAACAAATTCAGCATATCAATTCGAGGTTTCTTGGCGTGGACTTTCTTGTGACTGTAATCTACAAGTTCAATACTGAAGGTCTCCTCTAATGCACTCTTCTTTACTTCTTTCAGTCTCAAGCTTCACTCTGTTTATACTTTATACCATTTAGACTGCATTGGTTTTATGCCTTTCTACTGCTCACCTTTTATATTATAATCAGTTCAGGTAACTTACCCACAGCATTACCTCAGATATTTAAGAATACATTGTCTGCACCTATGCCTATGCTTATGGACATTGCTCGGTGTATTGCCACATTTTTCATGTAAGAAGAAGGGTGATTTCACCATTTCAGGTTACCATTACCACAAACTTAGTACCTAGATACCTTTTCTTCTAATGAGCAGGAAAGATGAAGATTTGGCTGTTAGGTACTTGGAAATCTGCCTAAGGTCCCAAGATTCAGCATGATCATCATGTGTCTATCATCTTCTGATAAAGCTGGTACGTCTGTTGTACCATATTCCTTATGTTTGACTTCTTAGCAGTTTGCATATCTTTGAGCTATAACAATGTCGTGGGAAAAAAAAATGCTTTTACTGATTCTTCAAAATCCATTGTGTTATTCACATTCTCTCATACTTAAACAGGAAATGTAGGTATTCGGAAGCTGGAATTGAGCTTTTGGGGTTTTTTAATTAATTTAATTTGTCTTAAGAAAGCTTTCCCTGATCAGATTCATCTGTCTGAGGTATTTTATTTGTCTTAAGAAAGCTTGTTTTTTTGTAATCATTTGAAAAAAACTGAGTTGATGATATTGTTTGTTAGTTATACAGGCTATAGGTTGTAAAACAAGATGTTATATGAACCATTCAGAGGAAAGCAATTCAGGTTGTTATACCACCCGTGCCATGCTTCTCGAAGATTCAAAATATTACAAGAAAAATTCATGACTACCAATTCTCATCGAGGGTGAAAATGATATAATTCATGACCTATCAATTCTCATCAAGGGTGAAAAATGATATTCATCGTCTAGTAATGATGTAAATGGGCAATTTCATTTTGCATGAAATCGTCATATTGAATAAACTATTATGTTGCTTTATATTTTTCATGTAAAAATACTTTTTAGTTATGTATGCACATTTCAATTAATATGTAGACAATTGTACTTGAATATTGTTTGATATTATTTGACAAATATTTGTTACAATTGATTTTCTTTTCAATTGAATGTGTATATAGAGTTTGTTTGTGGTTGCAATGCAAATTTGAATTTAGAGATTTACAAGAAAAAACGTAATTTAATGAGAATTATACAAATAAAAAATAAAATTTAATGAAAAGTATTAATTGCAGTTCAAAAATATCATTACAATTAAATAAAAAATAATTTAAAAAATAAAGCATAATTTAGCGGCGGTTTTAAAACCGCCGCTACAATTTAATGTAAAAATAAAAAAATATTTAGTGGCGGTTATGTAAGTGTCGCTAAACATTAAATAAAAATAACTACTTATTAGCGGCGGTTACAAAACCGTAACCGCCGCTAAATACATTAAAAACCGCCGCGAAACGAGTTTTTCATTAATTTCCGCGGTTGTTGAAAACCGCCGCTAAATCGATCGCGACACTCTATTTAGCCACGGTTCAATAACCGCCAGGAAACATAATAGTGGCGGTTGCAAACCGCCGCTAAACATTAAAAAAACCGCCGCTAAATCTCTTATTTGGTGTAGTGCTTGGAGACTTTTACGTTAGTAGTGGGAATGAAGGTGAGGTTGAATTTCAACTGTGGCATGTATCAGATCAGTACTGGTTGTCTGGCTTTGTGGTTAAGGGCATTGAAGTTCGACCAGCAAACTAAAGATCAATGGTTTGTGTTTTAATTGGTTTCTGAACTCTGAAATTATGTGAGCTATTAGGTTACGTTGCTTAGCTTTTCCTAATATCAGTGTCATGTTTCTTATTTTGCTCAAGCACTTTTAATTATTTTCCGGTGGATTTAGTTTGATGAAACTATTGAAGCAGCTTGAAACAATTTGAATTCAGTACAGTAGAGAATAAGCTGGTCTGAGGAATATGGTAGTCTACATATTGCTTAAAAATTACAAGACATACTCATAGATGCTGCAGAAATAGTTCATTAGTTTATGTTTCATATTTATTTGGCTTTGTCCCCTACATATTCTAGAAGTACTCCATAATTTGTTTTGGGTTATGTTTCTTATTTATTTGCGCTTCTCTATAGGATATATATATATACTGATATACACACACACTCTATATTCATATTATTATTTAAAGGTTTCATGTTAAAATTTTTATTGTAACTAAAATTTTAACAATTATATATATATTTTTACTATATTCGTCAGTGTAGACACAGAAAATTTGAAGCCGACAAGTGGACCGATTAAATCATTACTGAGCCCAATTTCGGGGTTGATCATTAGTCCAATTTAATTAATTTGGCTATGATAATTAAATTAATTTAATTAGTCCAAGTAAATTTGATTTGGGCTATTGAATTAATTAATTAATTGGTCGAAGCCCATTTCATATTTGAATTATAATTATAATTAATTTAAATATAATATGATTTTATTATATTTGAATTAGATAATTATAATTTAATTTGAATTTGAATTAGATGATAGAATAATGAATCTAGACTTGATTTTGGCAAGGTTCATTTTAGTAGATAATTAATTAATTTAATTAAATAAATATTAGTGAAGTTTGTTGAGGGATTTTAGTTACAAACTTCACTATAAATAAAGCCTCAATTTCATTCTTTAAATCACACTTCAGATACATTGAAAACAACTTGAAGACTTGAGAGCTTGAAGGCATTGAAGAACGCTTGACAACTTGAAGGCTTGAGGATTTGAGAGCTCTTTTGAAAGCATTTGAAGATCTTGAGGAATTAAAGGCATACAAGGCATTTTTTGCAGGTTTTGAAGATCTTGAAGCAACTTAAAGCCATTTCGCAGGTACTTTGAAGATCTTGAAGCCTTTTGAAGACAACTTGAAGCCATTGCAGGTGCTTTAATTTGATGCTTTGCAGAGTTGATTGCTCTGAAGCTTGACGTTTGCTGTTGAAGATCACGCCACTTGAACCCCGGAAGCTACGCCGTTTGAATCGCGGAGGCACGCGCCACTTGAATCCCGGAGGCTACGCTATTCGAATCCCGGAGGCACTCCAATAGATAACGTTAGTGAATAATCAGAGGACTACACAGAGACTTTGTACCTGCATGTTGAACTACACACTGTAAACAGATTTTGTGAATATATACAATTTTGATATTTTTTGTGTTTACAGATTTTGGCACGCCCAGTGGGACCGCTCTGCCTCTCATCTCTTTACTATCAATCTACATCAACAAGCAAGCAATCGAAATGGCGTCAAGAAGCTCGATGTTCAAGAAGTCTTATGCTCAAGCCGCTAGTTCCAAGTCTTCATCAACAACTGGTTCTGAAGCTAGCCGAGAGATCGAAACACCATTAACCAGGAGCCATGCAAGAAGCTTAGGAATGCGACCGCCAGAGCCTGAGTCAATTGTTCGACGCATGATTCAAAGGCTCGAAACGGCCCCTACTGTCCCGAGGAAGTCTATCTATATTGCAGGTCCACCATCTTCGAAAGGAGCAGCTGGCAGTGGGATGCCGACATCTCCGAAAGAAGCGGGGAATAGCGAGAAGTCATCTACCTCAGAAGGAACGGCAAATAGCGAGAAGTCGGCTACCCCAAAAGGAGCAGCTGGTGAGAATCCAACATCTCCGAAAGAAGCAACCGATAGCGGGAATCCAACATCTTTGAAATGAGCTGCTGGTAGCGGGAGTCCAACATCCCCAAAAGGAAATGCTAACACCGAAGGCTTGTCACCGATATCGCCGTCGTCCAACATGTGGAAGGTTGCGCCAGAATGGTCACGCATCTATACAGGCATGCCGGCTATGACAACAACCGCGACAACTATAGAGGACCAGCTTGCAAGCATCACTAAGGCGCTTGAAGGGATCACCACCCTCCTTCAAAACCAAAAAAAAAAAAAAAAAAGAGAATCAACGACTTAGCTGAAAAGGTCGAGAGCACAAGGAATGGCGAAACTAGTCGGGCTCCTGGGAAACAACCTGAGGTTCAAGGAGAAGATGCCTCGCACTCACCAACTTGCATTGGGCGAACTATGGTATACGAGGAATCAACTTCGCACATACCAAGTTCGGACAGGAGTATTCCAATCACAGGGGGCATGATACCAGTAGATCGGCTTAATGAGTTCATCTTGGGAGCTAACAAAGGAAAGCTCGAAAGGAGACAACCTTCATACACTTACACCAAGACTTACACCCAAAGGATAGAGGATTTGAAGATGCCCATTGGATATCAACCTCCAGCATTTCAACAATTCGATGGGAAAGGCAATCCAAGACAACACATCGCTCACTTCGTGGAAACATGCAACGACGCTAGGACGTCTGGAGATCTTCTTGTCAAGCAGTTCGTGCGCTCTTTGAAGGGTACTGCCTTCAATTGGTACACTGACTTGGAGCCTAGCTGCATTGATAGCTGGCATGACATGGAGTGCGAGTTCTTGACCCGCTTCTACAGCACAAGAAGGACCGTCAGCTTCTTAAAACTCACCACCACTCGCTAAAGGAATGGTGAAAGCTTGGCCGCTTACATTGAAAGATGGAGGGAGTTATGCTTGAATTGCAAGGAAAAGTCAGCGATTGAAATGTGCATCCAAGGCATGCACTTCAAGCTCTCCTACATCCTCCAAGGGCTCAAGCCTAAGACTTTTGAGGAATTAGCTAGTCGCGCCCACGATATGGAGTTAAGCATATCAGTTAATGGTGGACAAAACATACACATTCAAAGCTTCTACAATGGGGGCAAGATTCATGATGACGTTGAAAATGGCGGCAAGGCCTTTAAGAAATATGAAAGCATGGATGATATGCATGTGAATATTCAACCAGCTAGGATATTCACTAAAGTTACTGGTGAGTCTAGGGATGCTTCTAGATCATTACACGGTAGTAGAAGGCTTTCTTTCAGGGAAAGACAAAACAAGAAGTATCCATTCTTGGACTCTGATGTTCCACATATGTTTGATGAGCTATTAAAACACAATCTCGTTGATTTTCCAGAAATGAGGCGACCACACGAGGCATCAATGGTGGATGATCCGAGTTATTGCAAGTATCGTAGACTTGTCGGACATCCAATTGAAAATTGCTTTGTCTTTAAGGATAAAGTAATGGAGTTAGCTCGAGATGGGAGAATTGAACTTGCAGATGCCACAGCAAGCGCTAATCAAGTCTCCATCTCATGCGGTAAATCTACTTCGCTACTCATTGAGAGGAACAATGTGAATGGAAATAGAAAACGACACAAGTGTTTATTCCCTCTTAACATCAAGTCTTATGATACCAAACCCGAGTATGATACTCGACATGGTATTAAGTATGCTAAACAACACCACGTTGATGATGTGACACGACCATCTCTGCAGAGGTTACTTGGCTCGTCTCTCTAATGAAGGAAATCGGGTTTGCGCCACCTTCTGTGCCCAAACTCTGGTGTGACAATCTGGGAGCTACTTATCTGTGTGCTAATCCGGTGTTTCATGCTCGCACCAAGCACATTGAGATCGACTACCACTTTGTTCGTGATAAAGTCGCGAAGAAGGAATTACAAGTCAATTTTATTTCT